GCACGAGTGGAGGAGGGGTAGAGAGAGAGGGAAACACAGAATCCCAAGCAGGCTCCAGGCTCTGAGCTGTCAGCACAGAGTCTGATACGGGGCTTGAACCCACGAGCTGCGAGATCATGACCTGAGCCAAAGTCAGATGCTCAACTGACTGAGCCACCCGGGCGCCCCTCTTTCTCATAGTTCTTATCTCTTCTTTACCCAACAAGGAGATCACAGTAGGCTTCTGTAATTGATATTCCACTGAGATAAGATTTATATAGCTTCCCAACATCACATCTCTGTAAATTCTTCTCTGAGCAGAATCAAGCATCATCCACCCCTGGGTGAACTCCCCAGCCACATCCTTAAAGGTCACTGGTCCCTGTAACCACGTTGTGGGAAATCAAGCCATCATCCTTTCTTTCTCAGTGTTTCTCACATAGAAATAGAGTCCTGTGTCGACAGAGCCCTTATGGAGGACAGGTTAATGGCTGCCATCTTGAGAGTCTAAAAGTGATATCTGCTTGCACAACAGAGCAGAGAGACCAGGATATTTCTTGTTTCTCTGATCCAACCACAGCATGGATACATTTCACTGGGTATCCTCCCTGCAGCCAAAGAGGCAGGTTCAGGTGAAAGAAGAAAGGTGGAAACAGGGCTCCATAGGTGGCAAGGTAAAAAGAAAAATTGTAGACCCCCCTCCACTACCCCAGCAGGGTTTGGCCAGCTTAAAATCTTTTTTTTTTTTTAATGTTTTTATTTATTTTTGAGACACAGAGAGATGCTCAACTAACTGCGCCACCCAGGTGCCCTTAAAATCTTTACTAGGATTTGTAGTCACATGCAAAATAGTCATCGTGGTTTCTCTGGTTTCTCCTGGAGTCATCTTGTTTCTCCTGGAGACTATTTGTCAGTAATGGGTGGGAGAAGCATGCATTATTATTATTTTTTAAAGTTTTTCCATTTCTTTCAAGAGAGAGAGAGAAAGAACAGGGGAGGGGCAGAGAGAGGGAAAGAGAATCCCAGGCAGGCTCTGTGCTGTCAGCACAGAGTCTAATAAGGGGCTCGATCCCCCGAGCCACAAGATCATGACTTGAGCCAAAATCAAGAGTCAGACACTCAACTGACTGAGCTACTCAGGTGCCCCAGGAGCATGCATTATTAAAAGAAAAAAGATTAAAACTAAAGAGAACCAGCCAAAAGAAGCATGGTTGTTTAATTTTGTGTGTACTTTTTAGTTACCTTCTGAAATGGAAAAATAATTTTCCTGTTAAACACAACTATTTTAGGTAGGCTTACTTTTCTACATAGCACTTGATGTTTTTAACTGAATAACACACATGATCAACAACACTGATGATGTGGCTGCTACTCTACTCAGGAATTTTATTAAAGTTGTTAAAGGTAGATATGTGACTTTGAAACAAATGTTCATTTGTTTACCTCCAATTCAGTCTCTCTTCCCAAAGTCTGTATTTTCTCATGATAATTTATTCTATCTAGAAATTGAATGGGATCTACAAAGAAGCACAAGCCATGATCCAAACATTGGGAAGAAGGTCATAACAATGTTAATTAGATGGTATAACACTTTCCTAAATAATTTTTACAATAGCTTTAAAATAAATTAAAAAAAAAACTGTGTACACAAAAAATTAGTGCTTAGAGAGACTTTAAGGATCACAACAAATCATGCAATAATTTATTAGGTTAATATTTTTACAAGTCTCACTTTTTGAAGATTTGATGATAACCTCCAAATCAGAGCCCCCATCTCAATACAATAGAATTAAGTTTCAATGGGAAAAAATACAGAATTGGCATTTATTTTTATTTTATTTTATTTTGTTTATTTTATTTTTTAAAATTTTCATCCAAAGTAGTTAGCATATAGTGCAACAATGATTTCAGGAGTAGATTCCTTAGTGCCCCTTACCCATTTAGCCCATTCCCCCTCCCACAACCCCTCCAGTAACCCTCAGTTTATTCTCCATATTTATGAGTCTCTTCTGTTTTGTTCCCCTCCCTGTTTTTATATTATTTTTGTTTCCCTTCCCTTATGTTCACCTGTTTTGTCTCTTCAAGTCCTCATATGAGTGAAGTCATATGATATTTGTCTTTCTCTGACTAATTTCACTTAGCATAATACCCTCCATTTCCATCCACGTAGTTGCAAATGGCAAGATTTTATTCTTTTTGATTGCCGAGTAATTCTCCATTATATATATATATATATATATATATAATGGAGAATTTCTATATCTCACATCTTCTTTATCCATATATATATATATATATATATATATATCACATCTTCTTTATCCATTCATCTATCGATGGACATTTGGACTCTTTCCATACTTTGGCTATTGTTGATAGTGCTGCTATAAACATTGGGGTACATGTGTCCCTTTGAAACAGCACACCTGTATCCCTTGGATAAATACCTAGTAGTGCAATTGCTGGGTCATAGGGTAGTTCTATTTTTAGTTTTTTGAGGAACCTCCATACTGTTTTCCAGAGTGGCTGCAACCAGATTGCATTTCAAAAGCAGTGCAAAAGAGATCCTCTTTCTTCGCATCCTCGCCAACACCTGTTGTTGCCTGAGTTGTTAACGTTAGCCATTCTGACAGGTGTAAGGTGGTATCTCTTTGTGGTTTCATTTGTATTTCTCTGATGATGAGTGAAGTTGAGCATTTTTTCATGCGTTGGTTGGCCATCTGGATGTCTTCTCTGGAGAAGTGTCTATTCATGTCTTTTGCCCATTTCTTCACTGGATTGTTTTTTGGGTGTTGAGTTTGAGAAGTTGGCATTTTTATTTAGACAGATATGTTTGACAGGTAGATTCTATGTCCTTAAAACCAGAAAGGTCTGTCTCTTTGGGGTAAACCATATAGAAATAGATTTCCATCTGATTTGTTGATTCCTGTATTCCGAGTACCTAGAACATTTCCCAGCATATGGTAGACACTCAACAAATATTTATCAAATAAGCTGAATGAGTCCACAGCAATTAAGGTTTTGTGAAGGAGGTCCTCCCACCCCCCCTCCCCCATCCCACATCCATACCCTTCTTTCAGGAGCAAAACAAAATTAGAAAGTTATGTTTCCTGTTCAAAAAAGGAACTTACTTTGCCTTCTGGTTAAAGCTTTTTAAGTTAAGAATTGTACTCTGGACTTGCTCCTTAATTCCCCAAGTTTCATTTCTTTTCTAGTTACAGAACTAATAAGAAAAACTAAATGACTTTAGGGAGAAACAGGAAAAAAATATTTGAATAAATGGAGACATTCATCATGATCATGGATCCAATATTATATTGGTTTCAATTTTTCTCTGACCAGAATTGAATTGTATTTTCATTAATCTATATATTCAACAGGGACTTCTTGAAATGAGCATCTGATTTTTTAAGGTTTTATAGGAAAACAAAGCTACATGAATAACAAGGCAATTATTAAAATAGTGCTTTGCCCCTACTATATTTCAAAATGTGTTATAAATCTCTAGTAACTTAAACATAATGATAATGAGACAATAATAAAAAGTAAAACAGTAACTTCAGAAACAGATTGATGTGTAGCTGGCCGTTTCGTACATGATAAAGGCAGCAGTGTAAATCAAGGGGGAAAAGGATGCACTAGTTATCAAAATGCTGTCAAGACAAATGACTATCTTTTTGAGAAAAGCATAAATTCTACTTCACATATTTCCAGAGAGAGGGGGAGAGGAGACACAGAATCCAAAGCAGGCTCCAGGCTCTGAGCTGTCAGCACAGAGCCCAATGCAGGGCTTGAACCCATGAACTGCAAGATGATGACCTAAGCCAAAGTTGGATGCTCAACCTACTGAGCCACCCAGGTGCCCCAATTGTTTTAATTTTTAAAGGAGTTCTTATTATAGATAGATTCTGAAATATTTACAATATATCATGTAAAAGGTCTGCTTCAAAATAGTGATGGATACCAGGGTGTTCATTATCTTTTTTTTTTTTTTTAATATTCATTTATTTTGAGAGAGAGACAGGCTGAGGGAGAGACAGAATCACAAGTAGGCTCCACACTGTCAGCATAGACCCAATGTGGGGTTCAATCTCATGAATCTTGAGATCGTGACCTAAGATGAAATCAAGAGTCAGATTCTCAACCGTCTGAGCCACCCAGGTGCCCCATCATTACACTTTTTTTATGTTCTGAAATTTTCATAATATAAATCTAAAAATCATCAGAGAGAGATTTTACTCATAAAACATTAATAGGATGTATGGTTATTTACATATAAAATCACAAATTAAGAGATCTTAAGAAATTTAAAATTATAACAGAAACCAAAAATAGGTAAAAAGGTTTAAAGATAAAGCTGAGGAACTTTTCCAGCAAGCAGACCTCCCAAAAGAGATAAGCAGTGAGAAAGAAAATGTAAGAAAATGATATGATCAATTTCAAAGGTTCAACACCAGATTATTCAGAGTTCCAGAAAGAAAAAAACGGGAGGAAGAGAGAAACAAATACAGGAGAAATTCCTAAAAACAGTGAAATATCTAAGCATTGACCCATTGAAACGGGCAATTTCTTAAAGACTGGAACTAAACATATCATCATGAACGCTTTGAATACCAAAAATCAGTTGATCTAAAAGTTCAAGAGATGATAAACAGGTTACATACAAATCAGTAACAGGCATGACTTTTCAATGGTAACACTGTTCATTTTTTTTTTTAATGTTTATTTATTTTTGAGACAGAGAGAGACAGAGCATGAAAGGGGGAGGGTCAGAGAGAGAGGGAGACATAGAATCTGAAACCCAGGCTCAGAGCTGTCAGCACAGAGCCCGACACGGGGATCGAACTCACGGACTGTGAGATCATACCTGAGCCAAAGTTGGATGCTCAACCGACTGAGACACCAAGGCACCCCTGTTCTTTTTTTTTTTTTTTTTTTAAGTTTATTCATCCATCCTGAGAATGAGAGAACGCAAATGCCCGTGTGAGTGGGGAAGGAGCAGAGAGAGAGAGGGAGAGAGAGAATCCCAACCTGGCTCCCTACGGTTAGCTCAGAGCCCAATGCAAGGCCTGACCCCACGAACCGTGAGATCATGATGTGAACCAAAACCAGGAGTTGGACATCCAACCGACTGAGTCACCCTGGCACCTCTTTATTGTTCCATTTCTATCTAGCTTTGCCTGCTTTCAAAATCCCGAGGGAAGGCAGGTTCTTACATCGACCACCTAAGACACATGCTGTGAGAAGCAACAGCCCCTCCCTGTCCTCCCCACCACCTGCTCAGCGGCCACGTGAATACATCTCCATCCATGTTGGCCAGGCCGGCATCCAGTTGTACTGCCTGGAACAGGGCATCCCGCCCATTGGTCAGAACAATGGGGGAGGGGATGTGTCCTTCAACACCTTCTTCACTGAGATGGGTGCTGACAAGCATATGCCCAGGGTAGTGTTTGTAGACCAGGAAGCACTGGCACCTACCGCCGGCTCTGCCACCCTGAGCAGCCCATCACAGACAGGGGAAGTGATAACTATGCCTGAGGGCACTACACCATCAGCAAGGAGATCACTGACCTTGTCTTGGACTGAATTCAGAAACTGGCTGACTTGTGCACGAGTCTTTGGGGCCTCTTGGTTTTCCACAGCCATGGAGGGGGAACTGGTTCCAGGTTCACCTCCTGCTGACACAACTCTGCCGAGTCTGACAAGAAGTCCAAGCGGGAATTCTCCATTTATCCAGCCCCCAGGTTTCCACAGCTGTAGTTGGGCCCAACTCCATCCTCACTACCCACACCACCTTGGAGCACTCTGATTGTGTCTTCATGGTAGACAATCTGGTGTAGCAACCTCGATATCGAACATCCAACCCACGCTAACCTAAATAGGCTGACGGGTCAAATTGTGTCTTCCATCACTGCTTCCTTCAGATCTGATGGAGCCCTGAATGTTGCTCTGACAGATTCCAGACCAACCTGGGTGCTTTACCCCTGCGTCCACTTCCCTCTGGCCACATATGCTCCTTTCATCTCTGCTGAGAAAGCCTACCACGAACAGCTTTAAAAAAATTTTTAAATGTTTATTTTTGAGAGAGACAGAGAGAGAGAGAGAGAGAGAGAGACAGAGCTCAAGAGGGGAAGGCCAGAGAGAGAGGGAGACACAGAATCTGAAGCAGGCTCCAGGCTCTGAGCCGTCAGCACAGAGCCCGATGCAGGGCTCGAACTCACAAACCGCGAGATCATGACCTGAGCCGAAGTTGGACACTTACCTGAGCCACCCAGGCACCCCTACCATGAACAGTTTTGAGCCAGCCAAGCAGACAGTGAAATGTGACCCTTGCCATGGTAAATACATGGCTTGCTGCCTGTTGTACTGTGGCCACGTGGTTCCCAAAGAGGTCAATGCTGCCACTGCCACCAGCAAGACCAAGCATACCGTGCCATTTGTGGACTGGTGCCCTACTGGCTTCAAAGCTGGCATTAATTACCACCCTCCCACTGTGGTATCTGGTAGAGACCTGGCCAAAGTACAGCGAGCTGTGTGCACGGTGAGCAACACCACAGCCATTGCTGAGGCCTGGGCTCGCCTGGACCGCAAGTTTGGCCTGATGTATGCCAAGCGTGCCTTTGTTCACTGGTATGTGGGTGAGGGCATGGAGGGAGGAGAGTGTTATGAGGCCCACGAGGACATGGCTGTCCTTGAGAGGGATTATGAGGAGGTTGGTGTGGATTCTGTCGAAGGAGAGGGTGAAGAAGAATACTAAAGTTAAAAAAGCCACAAACGTGCTGCTTTTACAGGGAAGCTTATTCTGTTCTACACATTGAAAAGTTGTGCTCTGATCAGTTAATTTCATATACAATCACTGACCTATGCTTTAAAACACAATGAGACCCAAGCTGTCCATTTCTCTGATGGGTTTGAAAAAAGTATTCCCTGTTTTAAATGAAAAGAAAAATTCTTAAGGAAAATAATTGCCTTTCCAGGACTTATACAGAAGGCCAAAATACCAAACAAATATGAGGATGAGATAAAGTATTTTGTAGTTATAAACAACTTAGCTCATATGGGCTCTTTTTCCAGAAGGTAATAAGATTATAATCTACCAAAAAGGAAAAAAAGCTTCCAGGAAATACATCCAAAACAGAGATGAGCTGAGGGAATACATAAGCATAAAGGGACGTCTCACCATGCCAGGAGGGTTATATATGCCTGGAGAGTAACGGATCTGTCAGACTTCAGGAGGCTCGAAGGCGCCTCAGAAAAATGGTAAGGCTGTATGACAGGTTTGACCTTGAGGAAAACAGAACTGAGAGGCATTTTACGTGGACTTAGTGAAAACAAAGAAAATGAATAAGAAAGGCAATTACTAAAAATAGGAAGAGCAGAATTTGCACAAGAAAGAAACTTATTATGGTTCAGCACTAAACCATATAAATAACTGTATTTATACAGTTATGACAATGAAAGTGCTGCACATGGATGGAACCAAAATTTGTGAGAGAACTACATTATAACACTTGCAATATAATTGCATTATGGTTTAAGAATGTAGGAAGGATGGACGTACTAAGATTCTCATTTAACGCAGTAAGAAATGGAACAATGTCTCAAATTGATGAACTTAAAAAATACTGAAGACAGTTTAGGGGCGCCTGGGTGGCTCAGTCGGTTAAGCGTCTGACTCCGGCTCGGGTCATGATCTCGCGGTCCGTGAGTTCGAGCCCCGCGTCGGGCTCTGGGCTGACAGCTCAGAGCCTGGAGCCTGTTTCAGATTCTGTGTCTCCCTCTCTCTCTGCCCCTCCCCTATTCATGCTCTGTCTCTCTCTGTCTCAAAAATAAATAAACGTTAAAATAAAAAAAAAATTTTTTAAAAATACTGAAGACAGTTTAAATAAGTGCAAACAGCTTAAAAATTTGAAAGTGGTTGCCACTGAGAAGAAACAGGGACCTCTGTTTTTATTATGAGCCTTTTTAACATATTAGATATCTATTTATTTGTTCATTGCTTTTGAGAGAGAGAGAGAGCACATGCACACATGATCAGGGAAAGGGGGAGTGGGAGAGGGAGAGAATGTTAAGCAGGCTCTACACTCAGTGGAGAACCCTATGCAGGGCTCCATCCCATGACCCTAGGATCATGACCTGAGCAGAAATCAAAAGTGGGATGCTCAACCGACTGAGCCACTCAGGCACCCCAACATAATAGATTTTTTAAAAAATGTATATATATATTTCTTAAAAAGTAAATAAATTTCAGAGAAAATACATGAATTAGTCAACCAAATCAAGAAGTAGAAAAACAGCAACAAAGTAAACTTAAAAATACAGAGTAAGTTACTGTAGAGAAAACCAAAATACAAAGACATAAAACCAAACACAAAAACTATCAAAATCCACTTCTTTGAAAATATTAACATAGATATATATATAATGCAGGATTAATCCATAAAAAAAGGATGGCCCAGAAAAATATTAAACTCAAAAAGGAAGAAATGGCTACAATTATAGCAATGATTTTTAAGTATCACTAAAAAGTAGTGATTTTTAAAATCTCCAAAAAAATCACTGTAAAAGATTAGTATAAACAACTTTATGCCAGCAAACTTGAAAATTCAGATGAGATGAACAATTTTCTAGAAAACCTAAGTGTCCAAATTGACTAAGAACTAGAAAACTTAAATCCATCAACTACCATTTAAAAAAAAATTGGGAGTGCCTGGGTGGCTCAGTCAGTTAAGTGTCAGACTCTCGATTTCGGCTCAGGTCATGATCTCACAGTTCCTGAGACTGAGCCCCTTGTCGGGCTCTGTGCTGACAAGATGGAGCCTGTTTGGGATTCTCTTTCTCTCTCTCTGCCCCTCCTGCATATGTGCTCTCTCTCTTTCTCTCTCTCAAAAAAAAAAAAAAAAAAAAAAAAAAAAAAAAAGGAATCAGATGTCAAATATCTACCCCTGAGGATTTTGAGCCCAAAACTTACAATGGAAAAACTATTTCACAAAATAGAAGAAAATCTATACTTCCCAAATTATTCATGAGACTTGTGAAATCTTTCTGGTACAGTACAGGAGACAGTCGCACAAGGAGAGTGTAGAGGCCACATTGAGGCAAACAGTCTTGAGAGATGGGACCTAGAAAGGGCCACAGGGACCACCTGGCTGAATACAGACAGACATTTCAGGCCCTAACTGACCAAGGGGCTACTTACAACCAGGCAGTTACCAAAAAGGGAAACTTCCAGGCATGGCCATACCTGCCGCCTCATCTTCCCCCTTTAAAACAGCCCCCACCCACGGCCCTGTGCAGACGGCCTCCCCTGGGCTGTCCTGCCCTTGACAGGGAGCGCCGCTCCCTTGAGGTGCGCTCAGGCAGTCGATCTCCCTCATTCTGTTTCGGGTGAATTCTTTTCACCCACTGCCACCAGCTTCCGCTTCATGGTGGCCCCACATTTGGGGACCCATCTGATAGGGTGAGACCCCCACATGTAAACACCACAGATAGAACAAGAAGATTAAAATGCAAGTAAAATATTAACAAATTGAATACAGCTGTTTACTAACGTGATAAAAGAACATTACATTTAATCACTGCACATTTGCAAGAATTACTGACAAGCAGAAAAACTACTGTTGTTACTATAACAGCTACTGAACACTCTTGTACCCGCTGTATCTTGAAGCAGATCTGAGGAGGCTATATTATTTTTAAGTATTTCAGAATTTATCACTGTATATCTGTATAGGAGAGAGAGAGAGAGAGGGAGAGAGAGAGAGAGAGAGAGAGTGTGTGTGTGTGTGTGTGTGTGTTTTAAGAAAGCTCTATGCTCAGGGCTGCCTGGGTAGCTCAGTCGGTTAAGTGTCCAACTCTGGGTTTTGGCTCAGGTCATAATCTCATGAGTTTGAGCCCCACATCCGGCTCTGCGCTAACAGCGCAGAGCCTATTTGGGATTCTCTCTCTGCTCCTCCCCTACTCACGCTGTCTCTGTCTCTCTCAAAATAGATAAATAAACTTAAAAGAAAAGAAAAGAAAAGAAAAGAAAGCTCTATGCCCCTCCTGGGGTTTGAATTCACCACCACGACATCAAAAGTTGCATACTGGACTGAGCCAGCCAGGGACCCCCGGAATTTATCTCTGAATAAGATGACCAGGATACTGTCACACCCACAAAATTAGCAGTAATTGCTTATTATCAAATATGTAGGCAGTGTTCAAACTTTTCTGTTATCAGGATGTTTTTATTATTATTTTTTAAATGTTTCTTCATTTTTGAGAAAGAGAGAGGTGAGCGGGGTAGGGGCAGAGAGGGAGGGAGACACGGAATCCAAAGCAGGTTCCAGGCTCTGAGCTGTCAGCACAATGGGGTTCGAACCCACAAACTGAGATCTGACCTGAGCTGAAGTCAGATGCTCAACCAACTGAGCCTTGCAGGCGTCCCTCCGTTATCAGTTTTTTATTATTTTCTACTTTTTTCCTTTGTCCAATTATTTATTTAGAATTTTATTTTTTCATATAATTTATTATCAATTTGGCCAAAATACAGTGTGTAAAGTGTGCTCTTGGTTTTTGGGCTAGATTCCCGTGGTTCATGGCTTACATACAACACCGAGTGCCCATCACCCATTTCCCCCTCTCCCCTACTTGTTACCAGTTTTTAAAGTTATTTCTTTGACTCATGGACCAAATAAAGGTTCATACAATTTCAAATCCTTAAAAAAAAAA